GCTGACATTTACGCTTCACCAGAAAAGGAACTCATTTACTGACGAATTAAGCGCATCAGACAGTAGACAGTAGACAGGAACAGCTTAAACAACAGTAGCTGTAGCAGTAGCAGCAAAGCATGTAGCAACTTCAATAGCCACTCTATTCGTTAGGCACCATATCAGACCTATACGTGTGGCAACACCGATATTTTATATTGATTGGTTTTGGTCTGGACTATGGTCTTTAGCCTCGAGACTGCAAATTTTGATTTAGTTTAATATTTCTTATTTCACTGTTATTTTGTAGAAAAAAACAATTTTTCTATAGCTTTATTTTTCTATCAGATTTGTGTGGTGTTTTAAACATTTTGTTGTTGTGCAGTCAATGTTATATTCTGGCTGCTTCCGTTATCACAATTGCTTTCATTTATTTGGCAACTTTGCTTTGCCAGGCAATTTACAGTCTACAAGGGCAAGTGCAACATTTCGAATGATTTATTAATGCAATTCTGTTACGGATTTGTTCAGAAATGTGCTGCAGTTACGTTTTCATATTATTTCTAAATGGGATTTTTTATAGATTTAATACTTTGTAATAAGTAGTGAATTTCATAATTTTAGAGCACTTGTGTCGGTAAAACTAATTTTTTAATCATAGACTATTTTACTATCGAGATCAAAATAAGGAAGTGATTATTGAATCTCCTTTTATATCTTAAATACTACTAAAATATTATAGTATTAAAAATGTTTTTTCTTTATATATTATTTTAGGTTGTAGGTTCGGTTATGCCGGCTATACAAATGATCCACTTATACCTATTCATCGATTGTGTTACTGTATAAAGAAACGTCAGAGTTTAAAAACCAATTGCACATTTAGCAAAGTTAAAAATACTTTTTAGTGGATTATCCTGACGTTTACCAAAATCCTTAAAAAAAAGGTCTTCCTTAAAATAATAGTGTGGCGTTGTCTATGTGCTAGGCAGCAGCAAAGCAGATGTAAAGCATTTTCATCGACCTCTCTTCAACTGAGATAGAAATGATTGAAATGTAGATTCAATTTTCTAACATGGTTTCCTGATCTACTGTGAGCTGTTAGCAAGAATATCATAAGTCTAATATCTCTCGATCTGAAAATACAGTTTGATACTGCATTTTTTTTTTTTTTGTAAAGAATGAGGTTAACTACATATTGATGTCTACACTTCCACTTCATTGGAGTTTTCTCATTCTTAAAAATTTCTCATCCTAAATTCCTCAGCACAGTAATAATTCAACAAATATTTACGTGATGTCAACAGTATTCCCAAATTTTTGGAGTGTTCGGAATGATTACCTAAACCACCTCGTCTGGTTAGCTCGTTTGCTTTACAATTGTCGAAAATATATATGATCCCGAACGTAGGGAAGAGAAATCTTGAATGCGTTGCCATCTCCTTAAGAGATGTGTAGCAGTCAAAAACCATTCTGGATGTAAATTAAACTGGATTCACGCATTTTGAAGCAGCTTGACTGACTGATATTGTGTTTTTATTCTTATTAGACATATTATCCACATAAAGATAAGCTAAAATTTACCTAATAGTGGTCTCATCCACTTGAAAAATACTACAATGATCAGGAAGCCCAAAACGAGTAGATTTATTAAATACTTCCGAAAAGGATCTACTACCTTCACCATTTTCTACAACACTTCTACCTAATTGAGAGCACTGTTGTTAAAAATCGTTAGTTCATCCCATAATATGGAACTCCACGATAGCCATATGTTTCTAGATGTAAACTAAATACTTAATTTGCTGTCAAAATTTTTATGTGTTAAATCTTAATAAAATATTGTGGTACTAAAAAGTGTGTGTTCAGTTGGTAAGAACTTAATATTCTTTCATTTTAAGTTTCAGCACTAAAACTAAAAGTAAAATCTTTTACTGTTAGTAGTCTTAAAAAAATAAAAAAATATATAGATAGTAGAATAGTTGTACCAAAACGTTCACTAATTCACTAAGCAGATTTAATTGACCTACCTATAAATCATGCTGTTACTAATATGTTAATTAGAAGAAATACATGGGGTGTCAAAAAACGTTTCTTCTTGTTTTTAATTATATAAATTTACTATATAACATTTAAAAATAAATTTGATATATTTCCTATAGCGAAAGAAAGAACAATGCATCAATAACCCCCCATTAAGTTAAACAATGGAATAAAAATTTCAATATCGTCATCCGTTAAGTGATCTTACGATAAGCAACTTGCAACACTTCTTAAATCAAACGAAATTTATTACCATTATTACCCGATCAAAGAAATCCTAAATGGCCTATTAAATGTAATCATATACGGCGAAGGGCCAAGACGGTAAAGAAACGGTAAAGAAAGGAAAAAAGTGTTGCCAGCAGTGCAAACAACAATTGCATTAAAGCCATAAAAACATACAAAATAATGCAGTAAAATACAGTAAAATGCCAAAGCGACGATCGAGACAAGTTGAGAAGGAAAGTGAAGTGTGAATGCGTTTGCGCAAGCGTGGATCATCAATTAAGCCGCGATCGGCATCCGGCTGATCGCTACAAGGCACAAAATAATACCAATAAAGGTAAAAATTCATACAAAAAGTGTGAATCGTGTAGATACACACAAGTCGAAAATGCGCTGCGGGAAGAGCACGTAAATTGCATTTAAACAAATATTATCAAAGGGCATACAAAAAGTAACAGGAGGAAATGCATTGGTCACAGTGCAGTAATAATATCGATTACCTGAGCGTGTGCGGAAATGTCTGTAAGGCAAGCAGCAACCGAGGCAAATCAATAATTTAGGTGAAATGCATTTGGGTATGTAAGCAAAATATTTACAATCCAAAAAAACTTATTGAAATACTGCAAATGGACATATCCGAAATAGTTTTTTGTGTAGCAACTTAAAAAGTTACCTTTAAGCATGTAGCAAGCAAGCTGATGTTTCACAAGTACTTATCAGACTATATACATAAGTGACTTCGTCATTCTGTACGACATCCACAAAGACTTTAGTTAAACTTTTTGCATATTAAACAAAGTGAAATTTGATATTTTAAAATGGTTTTTTTATAAACTTTATTTATTTACACATTTTACAATACATTTTATTGGTTTTTAAGATTTTAGCTCACATCAACCCGCTGACACAACTCGTTTACTTGTCAATGTAACAACCAAATCAACAAAAGAGAAAAACAAACATTTTTCTAATGAAATGTATTTTTAAATATCTCATAAAATAATGTTTCAAAATGTCACAACCTCGTACATAATTTACTTGAAATCAGTTTGACATCAGGGGACCTCACACTTGTTCACACGTTCGTGCACACAAAATTTTTGTGTAATTTTGTATGCCGTTCAGGCGCCTCTGTTCCAGGTTACATTTCCATATGATTTTTTTTTTTTTTTTTTTTGTTAAAGCACCTTTTCAACTGGAGTCATTTTAATAATTTTCCTGAACGATTTCAATCGATACTTATTTTTGTTTAATTTATGACACAAACAGAGTATCAATTTTTATTCATCATGCCATGAGATTGAAATCAGTACGTATCTGATATATCTGATGTGCATATTATTACGGCAATGAGTAGGTCAGATAGGCGACAACATGTTGGTTTTATGAGTTTTTTGTTTAAACATTAAAATTACAAAATATATAAATAAATTTTTAAATAAAATTTAATACTTTTATTTTTATTAATTTTTTAAATTTTATTTAAAAAAATTTTATATCTTTTTGAACTTACGAACTTTGTTGGCTTCAAATGAAATTAGTGTTAGATTTGTATGCAGAGATGTTTTAGTCAACTTACCTGAAAGGAGAAAAAAAATATATTTACATTATTATAATTGATTAAAATTTATTATATACGCTTATATATAAATATTTTATTACCAGAAATTAACTACAGTATTTATATATGCATATGAATAATATATTTAGAAAAAATTTTATGGACAGATTTCATGTATAGTTAAGGTTAGATAGATTTTTCTTAGAAA